GCTACGTGGGAGGAATTTCTGGGGTTTGGAAGACATTGTGGGTGTGAGATGGGGAAATGGTGATGTTTAGATTCAGGTGTTGGGGTAAGATGAGGACGTGGTGGCTTTTGGATCCAGCTGTTGGGGTGCGTGGACTTTCCTGGGGCTTCCACCTGGGGTGCTCACCTCTTCCAGCTGAGAGGACCCACTTGCTCTGGCCGTTCACTTCTCCCTCCCTCCCTTCCACGTCCTAGGCCAGCGTCTGGTCAGCCCTGGCTCAGCCAACGAGACCTCATCTATTCTGGTGGAGTCGGTGACCAGGTCATCCACAGAGACCTGCTATAGCGCCATCCCCAAGGCCTCCTCGGACGCCAGCAAGGTGACCTCCAAGGGGGCAGGGCTCTCGAAGGCCTTTGTGGGCCAGAAGAGCTCCTTCTTGGTGGACTGCAGCAAAGCCGGTAGGTAGCCCGGTCCCGCTCAAGAGTCGGGTGGAGGCAGGCCGGGCACCCTGTGCTGACTTGGGTCTTCCCCGCAGTGCCCACCTACCCCTGCCACCCAGCCACTTGGAAGTAACCTTGTTCATCACCCAGTTGTCCTGCACTTAGTATTTTTAAGTGATTTTCCTCTCTGTTGCCTCTTGATTCTTTCAGATGCTCTCAAGATAGGAAGGGTGGCATTATCCCCATTACCGATGGGCAAACTAAATCAATAATCTGGCTCCTTCTGTGCCGATAATTGCTTTGACTGCAGTTTGAACTTGGGTATTTATTTGGGTGTCAGTGATTAGTTGCCTGGGTTCTGGCTTCTAGCACATCTGGGCTGGAAACTTGGCTCTACTACTCCCTCCTCCCTCCTCCCTTCCTCCTCCCTCTCTCCTTCCCTCCCTCCCTTCTTCCTTCCTTCTTCCCTCCCTTCCTCCCTCTCTCCCTCCCTCCCTTCCCTCCTTCCTCTCTCCCTCCCTTCCTCCTCCCTCCCTTCCTCCCTCTCTCCCTCCCTCCCTTCCCTCCTTCCTCTCTCCCTCCCTCCCTTCTTCCTTCCTTCCTCCCTCTCTCCCTCCCTCCCTTCCTTCCTTCCTCCCTCCCTCTCTCCCTCTCTCCCTCCCTCCCTTCCTCCCTCTCTCCCTCCCTCCCTCCCTCCCTTCCTCCCTTCCTTCCCTCCCTTCTTCCTTCATCCCTCCCTCCCTCCTTCCCTCCCTTCCTTCCTCCCTCTCCCTCCCTCCCTCCCTTCCTTCCTTGCTCCCTCCCTCCTTCCTTCCCTTCCTTCCTCCCTCTCTCCCTTCCTTCCTTCCTTCCTTCCTTCCTTCCTTCCTTCCTTCCTTCCCCAAATTTAGCCATGTGATCCCGGAAAAGTTTAGAAGTCTCTTTCTAAAAGTCAGTTTCTTATTATTTAAAATGGGAGTAATAAAGGCACCTTCCTTAAGTTTTTTATGAGAATAAATGAGATCAGAGTAGCCATCACTTCTGTAGCCCTTGCTACAAGCTAAGGGCTTCACATCTAACTACTGTAAACCTCACAACAAGCCCATGGGGTAGATGCTAGCATCTGTTTACAGATGGGCAAGCTAAGGCAGAGAGAGGTAAAGTTCCACATCCAAGGTCACCCAGCTAGGAAGTCACCCAGCTGGGCAGGATTTGAACCCGGGCCATTGTGCTGTATGAGTTTATGCTCATAATTGCCACTGGTAACTTTCCTTTGGCTCCCATATCCCCTCCCCTTCCTCTGCCTTCTGTGATGCATCCTGACAGAGTAACCACCTTTTGCGGCCTCCCAGGTTCCAACATGCTGCTGATTGGTGTCCATGGACCAACCACCCCCTGCGAAGAGGTCTCCATGAAGCATGTGGGCAACCAACAATACAATGTCACATACGTTGTCAAGGAGAAGGGGGATTATGTTCTGGCCGTGAAGTGGGGAGAGGAACACATCCCCGGCAGCCCCTTCCACGTCACAGTGCCTTAAAACAGTTCTCACCAAATCCTGGGAGGAGTTCTGGTGGTTGCTTTTGTTGCTTGTTTGTAACTTGTTTTATACAAAGTTTCCTCCAGCCTGTTTGTGGGTCTGAACCCCCATCCTGAAAAAAGTGCCTTCAGAAATAAGTCCTAGACCTGACTCCTTAGGGACGTGTTGGGGACTCTTAAGAAATGCAAACTCATTCCATGGGCTGAGAAGATTTCCATGTACACTCGGTTCACATCGGACCTCTTGGGGGCGCAGATCACCCGCAAGACTGACGTTTCTGGAAAATGAAATTGGCTTGCCAGTTTGTGACACAAAATGAAACGAGACTGGCAGGGAGGGACGAGGGGAAAGAGGCGACCTAGCGTAGGCTGTCATTTAGAAAAGAAGACTTAAAACCAGCTTCGTCTCTCCCAGTGCCCGTGTCACATACAAGGCTCTTAGGCAGATGCCATCGTTTCAGCACTCTTCACCTCCACCCCCATGCCCATCCGTGGCCTTTCCACACGTGGCCAAGGGCAGCGAGTGCGCTGGCCTCAATGCTTCCTCGTGCCTCTCCTCCCGTTCTGCTGAGTGTTTATTTTCCTGCAAAGTTGTAACACGTGCCCATCTTGGCAGCCACGTTGTTGCTTTTGTCTTTAAAGGCCACTAAAGTCGCTGGGTCCAAGGAAACTCTGCAGTGGCTTAACCACACACTCCAGCTATTTGTCAGTCTGATGAGTCTTGCCAACACGTTGGAAGTGACCACAGGTGGGTCACTGTGTCAGCGCCCTCAGACACAGAGGCCTGTCACAGGACACGACACTCCCCACCCACCTCCAGTCAACCCTGGGATCACTTCTGGAAAATGATTATAGAAGGAAAGAATGAAACTCCTGCTGACCTTTGCGGGGGAGGCGGGCAATGCGGTGGTGGCTCCTCAGTGGTCTTTCACCATTGGGCAGAAATAGGACAGCTACGCAGCTCTCGGTGGCTTTGTATTCATTTGGCCCTGATCACATCCGAGGCTGTTTAGACAGCATTGTGCAGGTGCAAAGCTCCAAAAATGGGGTGTAAGGCATTTTGCACCCCTTCCTGCAGATCTGAGCTGGTTTTGGAACAAACTTAAAGCGTTTGGGGAACACTGCCTGACTTCAGGGCCGGGATGGGTGGTGTGGTCTGGGCAGGCAGACTTTGTTGATTTGGTCCTAAGGAAGTGGCCGCTGTTGTCACGAGTGCCTCCGTGGGTGGGACAGGGAGCGAGGTGGGGGACAGTCACCAGGATGTAGCAGCTGGGGGCAAGTGTTGGCAATAGCCCCCCTGTTAGAAACCGGAGGAGCCTGAAGCCTAATGTGAAAGGGCCACAGGTTTTGGAAACTGGGACGTGGAAGCAAAACTGGAATCAAAAGCCAACTGTAAATTGTATCTTATAACTTATTAAATGTTTGCTCTGTCAGGCTTCCTCAGTGTTCTTGGAGGGTGGTGTTTCTGAATAAAAGGTTTGAGTCTCTGACCAGCTCTTGCCAACCCCTGGTGGAAAGGACACAGATTAACAACTTGTTTCAACGTGCCTTTTTGTAAATGTGTATCTATTTATTTTGAGAGAGCCGGGGGCGCATGGAAGTGGGGGAGGGGTAGAGAGAGCAAGAGAGAGAATCCCAAGCAGGCTCCATGCTGTCGGCTCGGAGCCCGATGCGCGGCTTGAACTCACGAGCAGGGAGATCTGGGAGATCGTGACTTGAGCCGAGATCAAGAGTTGGACACTTAACCAGCTGAGCCACCCAGGCGCCCCAAGCCTTGCCTCTTTTTGCAGGGGGATGGCTTGCTTCTCTGTGAGCCCTGCTGGGAATATCTCATCAGGAGAGGCCAGACCGACAGGCTGGGCCTGGCAGTGAGGGCACTGGGGAAGGGGCACACTGGGTCTCGACACCAACACAGCCTCTAGGAAAGAAAGCCTTTTTCCTGATGACACGAGAAAACCATCATCTCAGGGATTTCACTCAAACAAGAAGCTCTGTCATCTGTTGTCCCGACTGCCCTTGGACAACAGGGTTTGTGTTTGGTGTTAGTGTCTTCCTCTCCCTGCTGCTTCTGCTAGGAGGAGCTTGTGCCTGACTTTATGCCTGGGATACCTAGCCCCTGACCTCCTGCTCACCCTCACGGCACTCCTGTGACACCACTTTACAGTGTGGATACCAGCTCTGGTGCTGTATGGACATGTTCGTAGTGTCAAGGCTCATGTGGGGCTCACCCTAGGCCCTGGCCTTTCTCTCCCCAGTATGGGAGCCCCACCTCCCTGGTTGTACCTCTGGGAGCAGGAACACAGAAGGAATGGCACCAGGAGCCCCCAGATAAGCTCCTGGAAGACCCTGCTCGGCCCCCCAGCCTTCCATTGGGGGTGAGGAGTGAAGGGAAAAGCAAGGAAGGAACACTGGATCCTTTGGTGTGTTTCTTCCTGCTGATGAAGTTTTGTGGTGATGGGCTCGTGGGATCCGGAGCCGACGGCCAAGAGAGAATTCTTGAAGACATCTTTGGTGCAAAAAGGCGATTTTATTAAAGCGTGGAAACAGGACCCATGGGTAGAAAGAGCTGCACTGGGGTTGTGATCGGTAACTCATTATATACCCTCAGTTTGGGAGGGGGTCACGGATAGAGTATGTCTGTAAGGAATTCTGGAAGTAAGGTTTCCAGGACCTTGAGGGGGACCTTGAGTTGCTAGGGAAACACCATTTATTGCCATTTAATAAAACCTCAGTCATGAGACTCTTCAGATGTATACTGGGGGCCATAAGCTTGGAGTATGATTGCCAGCATATATCTTGGGGCAGTTGAGATAAAGGAAGTAGTCTTACAGGATCCTCGGGTTGGGATAATGTTAAGCTAAGATTCTCTTTCGCTCCTGGCATAGTGTCATCATCCAGCTGAGCTCCTAGAGGAAGGTCACTCTACCGTCTCAAGGTACTGTCAGTGGGCTGCAGGCAGTAAGGGAATTTAGTTTTTCATTTGCCTTAGTTTCCCACATCACCATGGCAAGCACTTAAACCCCTTTCCTTTGTTCTTGGGTAGCCAGGAGTTTCCGAGGAATATCACACATACTCCACCGGGGGCAGCAGGGTGGGGGGGGGCAGACTGTATTTTGCCCTCAGCTTGCCCCCAAGCTCCCTCATCACTGGCACCTCATTTTTGACCAGGACGGAGGCCTGTTTCCCTCTGAGAGGTGGGAGGAAGGTTGGAGGGAAGGTCTTCTTTTGCCTCTCCTTTTGGAGGGGGCGCCCTTATCTGTGGACCTCTGTTGGGAATAACTGCTCCCGAACTCCCACGGGGGTGGTGGGCTTTGGGGGTTGTCCAGACTCTGCCTAGTGATGCTGACCTTGCCCGCAGAGGAGCACAGGGGGACAGAGGGTGAAGTCCGGCTGGTTTCTGCTGGGGAGGCAGTTAACATTTATATGTTAACTGCTGAACTTTGGCATCAGGTGGAGTTTGAACACTGGCTCAGCCATTCAGTGGCTGTGTGGCCTTGGGGAGGTTGCCTCCCCTTTCATTGTGAGGATCACGTGAAATCTCACTGGGGGCTGTAAGTCTTGGCTACGGCTCTCTGTGACCAACTCCTCATACAAGGCCGCACCTGGTGCTGCCCTGGCGGGTCCCACCCATTACGTCCCACACAACTCGGGTGCTGTGCACCTCTCTTGGTCAATGGCCAGAGCCACAGGGCACTCTTATTGCACCTGGACTTGCTGCCGTGGGAACGGGCTGTTGTTTGTGCAAACGCCTCGATGACTTTGAAACGCGACCTCGAACGGGTACCGGGCCCTTTCTGACTTTCACCTGTTGATTCTGCCCCTTTCCTGTCAGGAGTTGACTGGGCCATCAGTCTTTAGTGGTTAGAGCAGACGGCACTGACAGTTGACCTGCAGAAACCTCAACCCAGTGAAGGCCTTGTCCCCTTCTCAGCCCGGATGCCTGCCTCTTCCTCATCCACTTTCCCCTGGCAACCCTTGGGAGCCCTCCACAAGCCTCCTCTCCCTGCTGCCCAAAAGGAAACATTTTATTAACATGTCTGTTTCCAATACACTTATAGGCACGTGGGCCCTTAACCGTATGTCTGGTCTTAAGACTTCAAAGGGGCCTTGAAAGCCACCTCTCGATGAGTTTGGTGTAAAATGAGTCAGGATTTAATTTCCCCGAAAAATTGCACAGCCTTAAAAATTAGCAGAATAAACGTAAATGGCAAAATGAGGGCTTGATCCTTGTCGCCCCCTCACACACACACCCAAGTTTGTACTTTAAAATGGGGAACAAACTCATTAATTTAAGTGCTCTTTGGGCTTAATCTCAGCATGATGGAAGCAAGGTCTAGGAGAGGAATGGAATCTTTTCAAATCCCCATTAACTTGGAGGGGGAAGGGGCTTTGTAATCAGGGCATTTCACTAATGAAAACTCTCTCCCAGAAGCACATCTTGTTTGGCTAAATTTTTTCCTCCTCACAATAGCAAATCATAACTTGAAGAGGGAGTAAAAATGTCCTATCGCTCAAGGCAAGCCCAAATTGGATGTTTTCGCTCCAGCTTTGTCCTAAGGATGCTGACCAAACACGGTGGGAGGAATCTATTAAACAAAGGGATCCTTTTTGCTTTGTGATAAGTCTTTTGTCTGGGTTCCTGAGCCCACAGGGGACCAACTCACATGCAAGGAATTTAGGGTGGCCCACCCCACGCCCCTTCTCTCTCCCTCAAGAGCTCTCCAAAGCAGGCAGGCAGGAGATAGGGGATTTACGAGCCTGGCCTGTGGCTCACACCCAAGGGTGTTACGTGTTTCAGACTTGCTTATCTCCCCAAGGACAAAGCTCAAAGATGAAAGAGTCTTGGAGCCTCGTACTGACCACATGACTCCCTCTGCCATAACCACCGCCTTCCCAAGACATCAGGATGCCTCTCCCAGTCGCCACTGACGTTCTTAGCGCAAAGCTGATGCTGAACGCTGGTGGGGTGGTCCCTGAGAAAGAGGAAATCTTGGAGGCAGCGCCACGCCCCGGAAATGCCAGCCTCCGGCATTGGGCGTTGTGGCAGCAGAGTATCCTGGTGTGTGAGAAACACTCAGAAAGCAGTGGGTCAGGTGCTGCAGGTTCAAGTCCAGACCCCAATCCCAGGTCTGCGGCTTACTGGCTCAGACACCAGCTGGCTCTTAATCTCCCCATATATCCCAAACTTCTTTATAGTCCTCATTTTACAGCTGGGAAAACTGAGGCACAGAGAGCAGTCTAGATAGCCTTACCGTTTCTTGCCCTGCAGACTGGGAGACCCAATCTGGAACATTCTTCCTCTACTCTTTGCCTGGCCAATTCACATTCATAGTTCAGATCTCAAAGGGCACCTCCTCCAAGAAGCCTCTGTGTCTCAGTGCCGTCATCCGTACAATGGGAAAGTAGAAAACTTCCTTTCTAAGATTAACCTCCAGAAAGATCTCCCAGTACAACCATCCTCCAAATGACTGGCCAAATCCTTCCCCACCCAGAGCTGCTGGAAGAGGAGCTGCCTGAGTGTGTTGGGGAGACTCGGCTCCCCCAGGCAAAGTGAAAGGGGTACCTCAATGAGGGGAAAGGGGCTCGTGGGGAATTTGTTAAGTATGGTGGTTCAAAGCTTGGCCAGCAGGTTCAAATCCCACCCTGCCCTGACCTCTAGCAGATCACTTACTCTCAACTCACAGCCTCTGTTTTCTCTCCAGTGAAATGGGGTAATAGAACCTACCCCATACAGTGTTCTGAGGCAGGCAGTGTGGCTCGCACCCTGAGGGTTAACTGACAGAATGAATGTAAAGAACATATTAGTGTCTAGTACATGATAAGAATTCATAAAATTACTACTACTGGTGAAAGGTGTTCAAGAGGGTTCTTCTGCGCAGAGAGCTTAAATCCAGGAGGGGCTACTTTAAGGACACAAGTAAGTACAAATAGGAGAGGCACTTGGCCTGGGGACAGAGCCCAGCACTGGAAAGTGGGTTGGGAGTCATCAGTGGGAGTGGATGGCATGGCCAATGGCAGCACTAGGAGCAGAGGGGGTCTTTGGTGGCCTGGGATAGTGGTCAGAAAGGTGAGAGGAGAACTATGTGAGTCAGGTGCACCCGGGAGGGCCCCAGCTCACCTCCCAGACTCCCCTGGTTTCCAGGCTTCAGTGACCCTTCTCCCTTAGCAGAGTCCTAGGCCAGAGGCCGGTCTGGGGCTGCCCCCACACCTTCCCAGAGGTTACTGGATGGGTTTGAATGAGTAAATCTAGAGAAAATAAAGTGTAATAAGTAACACTAATCCTAGGCACCAAGTCTTATGATTATCCCCCTTTTTTACAGGGGCATTTCTCAGGGGTCAGAGAGGTTATGTGACCTGTGCAACACCACACAGCTAGTAATGGTCAAGGCTGTGATAAAACCCAGAAAGCCTGAATCTAGGAAGGAGGCCATGAAGCCGTGCTGTGCATGCAAGGGCCTGGCTAGCAGGTGGGCACTGTCTTTGTGGGTGAACGGCTGTCCTTGAATCCGTTGGAAGGAAGTACTTTAGAGTCTCCTTTATACCCTTCCACCGCCCACTACCCTCTAGGGGGTGACTGTCCACCCGCTGCACAGCCCCTGTCTTGCCATCCGCCAGAGCCTGTTGTCAAGAATAGCCGCTCCGACTGTCGTCACTGCGGTGACCGCCAGGGGTCGCCTCGGACGCGCGAACTGCGACTGGGGAGACAACGCTGTGGTCTGGAAGGCACCGGGTCTAGGAAGCCAGGAAGGGGCACACCCACCTCTGCCCCCACCCCCACCCCGCAATTCCTCTGACTTTCCTCCCTCTGTCCTTCCCGCGCACGCCGCAGGGCAACAGAACCAATGTGAAGTCTGCCTATTCCTCCTTTCCTTGAGCACTTTTTCTGAGCACCGACTGTATACCAGACGGTACCCCTAGAGGTGCTCTGGAGGTAACAGATGCAGGGTTGAGCAGGACAGGACACAGAAAGCACAAGCTCTGTGAGGGAGGGACATTTTGTCAACTTTGTTCACTTGCAGCTTCTGGCACACAGAAACGCCTTCGGTACTGAAAGCACTGTTGGTGTTTACGGCCTGTTCAGACACCTTTAATTAAAAAGGTGATTGCACAATTAACTGATGACTGTTGTGAGTGCTCCAGAGGAGATATGCCAGGCCCAGGCTGTCCTACTTAACCAGCTGGCTCTTAATCTTCCCAAATGCCACAAACTTCATTGCCCTCAATTTACCCCTGGGAAGACTGAGGGACAGAGGACAGTCTAGACAGCCATACCCTTTCTTACTTTGGGGGAGTCCCAGCCTGCAACATTCTGCCCCTACTCTTTGGTTACCTCGTGTTCACGGTTCAGGTCTCCAGCAAAGGGCACCTCCTCCAGGAAGCCTTCCCTGATCGTCTTCCCAACTCCCTGCTCCCCTGGTTATGAGTCTGTCTCCCCTGCTGACTGCGAAACCCTGAGGACGGGAAGCATGTGGACTCCGTTCCTCCTCATCTACCTTTAGTACCTGGCTCTGCCTGGCAAAGGGTCAAAAGCAAATGAACGTTGGTTGAATGAATAAATGAGAGCATACTGAGCAGAGTGGAAAGGTGAGTGGCCCTGGGGCATTATGGGTAACATCCTTCTCACCAGTACTCATGTCTGCAGCACGCTGGTAGGAGAGGCAGAGCGTGTGAGGATCCTGGAGGCTGACTTTATGGTGCTGCGGGGCGACTGGCGGGTCCTCCTCTGCCCGTGCCCCGCTCCCTGTGCCTCTCGCATGATGCTGTCACATTCTATGGCAGAATTTTGTGTCTGTCTCAAATGGGTGTGGGTTTTGGAGTCAATTCATTTGGAGTGCAACCAGGTGAACGTTGCTGAGCCTGTTTCCTCATCTGCAAAAGTGATGGAAGAGAGCCTGCCAGGAAGTCACTGTGAGGATTCCAGTGAGTGGGATCACTGGGTAATGCCTCCAGCCCACGGCCCGGCACAGAGTAGGCACCGGCACACCCCAGCAGTGCACCCTAGGGCTGGCAGGTTGTTTCTGCAGGCCTCCACCCCCCATCTGGAAAGGAGGTTAACGAGAGCCCCAGCAACTGAGGAACATGGTTTAAGGCAGACAGAACTCAGCCCAGCAGCTGGCACCTAGCAGGTACTTGTGAAACAAGTACCTTGTTAAACAGCGGGTGGGGGCGCCTGGGTGGCGCAGTCGGTTAAGCGTCCGACTTCAGCCAGGTCACGATCTCGTGGTCCGTGAGTTCGAGCCCCGCGTCGGGCTCTGGGCTGATGGCTCGGAGCCTGGAGCCTGTTTCCGATTCTGTGTCTCCCTCTCTCTCTGCCCCTCCCCCGTTCATGCTCTGTCTCTCTCTGTCCCAAAAAAATAAATAAACGTTAAAAAAAAATAAAATAAAAAAAAAAATAAACAGCGGGTGACATTCATGGAGCGCTTCCTCCAGGCAGACACCGTCCCAAGTTCTTACACCCCGGTCTAATATTATTCTCTTAATACTAAAAGTAATTCCTGCTATCATTCCGATGTTCAAATGATGCCAGGAAGCTATCAAGTGTCAGAGCTGTGCCTGAGGAGCTGGGGTCCAGAGTTTCCATGGCAACCCCCCCGGCCAAATGTCCAGAGCTTCCCGAGGGTGGACACTGGGCCTTCTTTGGACCTCCTTGGGTGCCTGTGTATAGTAGGTATGCTGAATAGAATAGAGGCTATGGTACCCCGTGCAGCTCCCGGGGACCTTCTGGGTATGAGGTGGAAAGAGTCCCTCTGGGGTAGAATACAGCCTCCTGCCAGGCACCCTGGGTAGGTTGTGGCCAGCCTCTGCTCCCTTTCCCAGCCTGGTCTGTCCTATTGCCGGTGAGTGGCCCTAGTCCCCCTCCCCTGACGTGGCCCAGCCCCTCCTCTCCAGCCTTGGCAACCCAGCCCTCATTGGCTGCACGTATCCTTGGAGATGGACACCAGCAGAGCAAACACAGGCCCAAGAAGGGCTATGGGGCAGAATGGTTCCTCCCTCTCCTCTCCTTCCTCCTCACTGCCATGAGGGATCTGTGCACCACCCAGAACCAAGCCTGCTGGCAAGAGTGCATCCGGAAGGAGGCCGCAGCCCGGGTCGCCTGGAAGATCCACTATGGCCACAAGTACCTAAAGGGGGGGCCCACGCCCAGGAAGCGGGTCCAGCGGGCCCCCTTCGGCTCAGCCTTGGCTGCCACCAGCTCCCCTGAGAGCAAGGAGGTACAGGTCGGGTGGCCAGAGTCCAAGGGGGTCAGGGATCAGCTGTCTGGGGGAGGGGGTGTCCAGGGCCCGTCACCCAAGGGAAACAAAGTCTGGGAGGCCCAAAGAGCAACTCAAGGGCCGTCAGTCCAGCCCAAGCCAGAGGGCTTAGAAATGAGGCAGGTTCCCCCCAGCACCCTGCAGTTGTTCTTCCAAGGCCTCTCTCACGATGGCCAAGGCCGGGCCTTGTACCTCCGGGAGCGGCATCGCCAGAAGCCTGAGGAGAAGTTTCTGTACCCGATCCTGTCATCCTGGGAGTATGGCTGGCACATGGGTAAGGGCCACCACCATCTTGCCACTCCAGGCCTTTGTAGGCAGGCCCAATCTTCCTCCCCAGCCCTGTCCTTCCTCACCCCTCACACGAACAAGCACGTCCCTCTGGCTCCCCTTTCTCCCAGAAGGCCACACGCCTTCACACCTCCTGACCTTTGCACATTTTCATCTCTCCGCCTGGAATGTGCCTCCTGCCTCTTCCTCTGCTGGCTTTCACATGTCACCTCCTCCAGGAAGTCCTCTGAAACCCTCCAGGCAGATTTGAGTGCGCCCTTGTGCTTCTACAGCTTTTTGAGCCTATAAAAGCACCGGGCCCGCTGAGTCACCATTCCTTGAGTATCCAGCTGGCCTAATGAGCCCTGTGGGTTCCAGGACTTCTTAGTTAATTTTATTAATGCCCTGCCAGCTCCCATCTTGGGGGAGCTGTGATGGTGGAACGAATAAACAAATGAATAAATGTGGACTAGGGAATGAGGCCTTGGTTTGGAATCAGGAAGTACAAGTCCAAATCCTGGTCCTTCACCTGAGAGTTGTGTGAGCTCAAGCAAGAACTTTAACTTCTCTGGGCCTTAGTTTCCAAATCTGAAAAATGGGAATATACCAGTACCTCCTTCCTCTGTCACAGAGTTTTGGGGAAATCAAACGGGAAAGCACCTTGAACAGAAATTTTCCTCACAAAAGCCCCATGAGGTGGGTATAGGGCAGACATTCATTCATTCAATATGTGATCCTTTCTTTCGAGACAGCCCAGGTAGGGAGATCTGGAGTCACTGAATCCCAGCTCTGCCCCAAAATGAGCTAGGGAATGAACAAGCACGAAAGAGTGACTCAGTTTGAAATTAGGAGGCCCGGGTTTGGATTCTGGTTTGTTCATTCATTCATTTATTCATTCAGTCATTCAGCAAAGGTTCAGTGAGCAGCTGAATATGTGAGGCACTTTTTGTCCCTGAGGATATGTCAGAGAACGTGAGTGTTGAGGCTGTACAAAAAGTGGGGACTGAGGGGGCTCCTGTGGTAGACAGGTGGTCAGGGAAGCCCTGCTGGGAGGGGTTTGAACAGAGTTCTAAGGCATTTTATTCCATCAGATTCTTCTGAGTAGGGGCCTGACCCTCTGGGCCCACAGAGTGAGTCTCAGCTTAGACACCACATGGGTCCTCTCTGCTCCTCCTCTCTTCCTCCAGCCCACAGATTTATGCCCTCTAACTGTGAAGCCACTGCCAGGCCTAGGGCCACCAAATGGAGCAAATTATAAACTACAGGATACCCAGTTATTTGAGTTTCAGGCAAACAGTAATGTTTTAGCAGAAGCATGTCCTAGATACGGCATGGAACATACCTCTACTGAAAAATTATTCATCATTTATCTGAAACTCAAATGTAACTGGCCATCCTGTACTTTATCCAGCAACCTAAACATCAGAGCCAGGGGAAGCTGGTTCTGGATGCCCCCTGTGTACTAGGGCAGTGCTAGGTTCAGGGCAAAGACAGGAAGACTGTTTGCCTCCATAGTGGTTGTGCTTAAGGTCCCAGATAGTTGCTCCTAGAATCTCTGGAACATTCTGTAAGCTTCTGGCCTCATGCCCCTAACCCAACCAGTTGGGGGACGGATGAGGAATAATGACCGAACTTCTGCTGAGCATCTCTCCCCACTCCCCAGCCCAGTTACAGACAGGAGCTGCGTCATCCTGGGGGTGGAAACAGCTTGGGGAAGAGGAGTTGAAGGCATTGTCTGGACCCCAGTGGGTCAGCCCCGAATGCCCTTTTACACACAGAAAGTATCCTTCTAGCGCCTGACGCATAGGAAGTGTTCAACAAATGGTAACTGGTATTCTCCTTGTCCTTGTCCTTGTCCTTCTCCTTCTTCTTAATTCAGCAGACAGGACCTGCAGCCTGTGGGCATTTGGGGAGCTAGTGCAGCCTTGGCCAGGACCCTGGGGGTTCTTACTCTGAAGTGCTGGGATGGATGGGCACAAGTATTTCACTATTTTAGCCCAAGCAGTCGTGGCAGGGGGTCCCTGCTGACTCTCCGCCCTTTGGGTTGGGCTGGGGCTGGTGGGAGGAATGGCGGCCCCAGCTCAAGCAGGCCTTTGCTGTGTTCCAGGGGACACAGGTGCCATGAAGGACACCAGGGCTCCGACTTATGCCAGGCGCCAGCCCATCACAAAGACCTTTTACATCAAAAGCGGCGTCTTCCATTTTCCACGGCGAACAGACCAGCTAATGTGAGCTCACTGGGGGTTCAGAAGCTGCTCCTGCCTCTTCCTATCGTCTGTGTGGACCCTGCCGAGCAGAGATGCCGCCAGCCCCAGCCACCCTCCCTCTGTTGTGTCCAGCCCTGTCTCCTGTCTACCCTGGGCACCCCTCCGGGATTCAGGGTGGCCCACCTGCTGCCTCTTGTATGTCCTCAGAGAATCAGCTCCTTGCAGAGCCCCCAAACCCTCCATCACCAGCAACGTGTAGGGTGATAGCTGCTCTCCTGGGGGAAACAGTGGGGTCTCCCACGTGCTCCAGCAGCAGCGTGGTGGGGGTGGGGGGGCAGGGGAGGGGCTCGCTAAGATCTTATTATGGTGCTAAGTGGAGGAGGGGACTCTCTCCCAGTCTTTACTTGCTCTTCATTTTATCAAAGGGACCCACAGCAGAATTGCTTGGTCCCTGTGTATCCCACAGTTTAGGGAAGAAGTGGTTTCCATGTTGACTTGCTGTTTCTCTCACCACCCACCCCACAAAGAGCCTGCATGGGTCGGGTTTGCTTTGCTGCTGTAACAAACAGCCACTACATCCCACTTGCTTTAACCAGTAAAGATATATTTCTTACAACACAGTGCAGTCTGATGTTCAACCGGCCACCTGCCACGCACTGATCTGGGGATCCAGGCCTGTCCCATAAGGTGGCTCTGCCATCTCCTAGGGCCTCGGAGTCCTTCCCTGAGTCCTTCTACATCCAACTGGGGACCAGGGAAGAGAGATGGAGAGTCTGCAGACAGCACGCCCACTCTTAACTGCCTTGGCCTGAAACTGACAAATGTTACTTCCTGTTACATTCTGTTGGTGAGCACACATCCTATGACTTCTAGATGTGTGAAGGCTGGGAGAGTTGTATCTCTCCCGGTCTGCCTCTTACCCTGAAACTTCACAGAAGAGCTAGGCCACTTAAAGCTGCAATTTGAGCTCATTTGCCTGGGTTTCCCTCATCAACTTTGGGACAGTACTTGAGTGCAAAAGAGCAAGAGGCAGAGAGTGTGAGCAAAGGCCAATGTGTGCGTGCAATTCTGCTGGAACTTGCACCGCAGCCTTGCACACCAGAGGTGCTTGGCAATTGCCTGCTGAATTTGATCAAATACCAAAGAACCTCTGGATTCCTCTAGGGCCATTTGATTGACTGTAACATCCATTGATCTAGCAGCTCCTGAAAGTCAGGTTCAGCCTGGGCTCTTGGGGAATAAGAAGCCAGATCTGGCTCACAGCACAGGGTGAGGATGGTTGGGATGGGGCAGTGCGGGGGTGGGGGGGCACCTTTGGGGCACAGAGGAGGCCCTGAAGCCAGCATGAGGTCTTGGGACAGGCTTCCTGAGGGAGTCACCATTATTTCTGTCATTAAATGAAACAATGCTCAGAAAATGCCTAGCAAGTGCCTCTGTCCGTGAATTATATTAATTATGATGATGATGATCTCTGTCAGCAGCGAGTCTGCAAGCTGCTTAGAAGAGGATAGGCCACCACCAGGGCAGCCTTTCTCAGTTGGAATTTTGTAACTAGATTAAGCCCTTCCAAAAATGGTTTAAGTGACAATTTTCTCAATTCTCTCAAGGATGATACTATGTAACTAGCATCATTCTAGAGGCATGGAAAAGAGGTTCGTTCCACACAGTGGATGTCCCAGGGTGTTAGGGCCTACTTCTTCTGGGACATTTATTTATGTACGTACTTAAGGAACACCAATATGATATTTGCATGCATTTTTCTAAGGCTGCACTATGTCATTTGGTAGCTATAAGCTACCATTTGAGCATTTGAAATGTGTCCATTGAGCATTTGAAATGTGTCTCACCCAAATTGAAATGAGCTGTAAGTATAAAAGACACACCAAACTTTGAAGATTTGATAAGATAAAACATGAAACATATCTCATTAATAATTTTTATATTGAATTACATGTTGAAATGACCAACTTTGTCCATGCTGGGTTAAACCAGGGATTGGCAGACTTTCTCTGGAAAGGACTAGTTGTAAGTATTTTCCATTTGTGGGGCATCTAGTCTCAGCTCCAAGCTACTCAACTCTGCAGTTGTGGTGTAAAAGCAGCCATAAATAATACATAAATAGGCATGGCTATGTGTTAATAAAACTTTATTTAAAAAATAGGCAGAGGCACCTGGGTGACTCAGTCGTTAAGCATCTGACTTCACTCAGGTCATGATCTCACGGTTTCTGAGTTTGAGTCCCACATCAGGTGTATTCGAGTCTCACATCAGGTGAGCTCGAGCCCTGCTTCCAGTGAACACGAGCCCTGCTTCAGGTGAGTCCCGTTTCTCTCTCTCTCTCTCTC